CTTAACTTTGATGAGACAGTTAAAACATATTCCAACGTCACATGGTGACCTTGCTACGACATATTAAAATATTACCGGCCTGAGGTAACCCTATGCTAATTTTTTTTAACTTCTATTTTCGTTATGATATTATGAAGCATTACGATAGAGCAACAAGGCCAGTCAATGATTACCTCTCACCTCCATAAGCATATAAAACAGACTTGAGTACAAAGCATTGATGATAGTCAAAAATTTGTCATTCTTTACAATGTTCTAATAAAGAATGAATAACGTAGAATCAATTTATGTCCTCACGTTCGTAATTTGTTGATATTATATTTCTGAATAATCAGTGGATCCTTTGATATAAATATTATGGAGGACATTTAATACAGGGGTTGGTGTTCACATAGTTCATTGTTCACTTTTTTTGTCCTTTCGGAAATTTGATTTGACCTACAATTGCTGAAATGTTAGTTCAGGAAAACATGTACAAAATATAAAAAGCATAAAAATATTAACCTTAATCTACAGTAGGACTATATAGAATTTAGTTACATTCATTAAATATCATATTTATTATATTATGATCAGTTATGATGATGAACAAATAAAAAGCATGCTATTTTCAGAATTGTCTGTTCATTTTTTAAACTGATAACTCCTCTTATGATTTTGGTTCATATGTTGCAACAAATAATTAATGCATAATAAATTTATAGTGTAAATTTATAATGAAAATAAGGACTCAACAGTTGCACATCCACAATACTATGTTATTAGTGTTTCCATAGAAACAACATGACCCTAGAAAATTCATTCCGATGATTGAAGAGCATTTTATGCAGAATTGGACTGCGTCAACCATTTGTGAAGATGTGTCTGACGGGCAGTTGTAAACTGACGATCAATACGCAACTAAGTAGTAGAATGGAATGGAAGTGGTCGAAAATGATGCAGCCATGGATAAAATGAAGAGATTAGTGGAGTGTTAATAAGTCAAAGTTTGATTGCAGTAAATTAAATGAAATGATATGTAGAATCTCATACAATTGTCATATCATGTCAGTGTATGATTGACAATTTGTGACATCTTGAAATGATGAAAGTGTGTCCAATTCACACTAATCATCAGAATGTTCAATCTTATAAACAATCTATTTTTAGTAATGACAAGTAGAAAAACTAATAATGTGGATGAAGCACCGGTAATGTAGACCCATAAAAATGAGAAACAGTATAGTACTAAAGAATAATGCTGGTATAAAGCTATCTCATTGTAAACACTAATGGTTTTACTACTTTTTTTAAGTACTTTTTTTTCTTTTTTCCTCTGTTTAAATTTACACTCAGTGAAACATTCATTGAACCAAGTTTAAATTTTACAAATCTTTGATTCTATGCATAACCTATGCCATTAATTACATCAACAACTTGTCATCAAAATCAGAATTGTTAATGTAACAAAAATACTTTTGTTTACTCCAATATGCAGCGATCATCATTAACAATACTGTATTTATTTATTCTTTCTTTATTCTGAAATACACTTTGTAACAAACCATACAATTTAATAAAAGTAACTGTAACTATATGGTTGAACATCCAGTCTAGCAACTTTCATCACAATATCATTTTTGGTGTTACATTATCTTTCATAGCATACAGTAGGCCTACAGTGATAAATTCATTTATAATGATCCAAATTGATAAATAGACATTTGTCTATCTTATACATACAGGACTGTAATATCTTTGTCTGATTACACCAGGCATAGATTACAGTAGGTACACAGTTGAAGGTACAATGTATACAAAATGACTTTATTGCAAATTTAGGGAAAAATTTTAAATGTACAGAATAATTTAAAGTATACTAATATACATTCTAATATACTACTATACTGTAGTTAGAAAATCCCATGTTTCTAATGTACAACTATTTTACAATTTGTTTTATTTTTATGTCGCCTCTTTTCCAAAAGTTCACAACAGACATTAGGCCCTATAAAATAAATTAATTGTTTATCACCCTATCTAGGCTGGAAAAGCATTGAGGGAAGGAAACTTTTTATTTTTTATTATGCTCAAAGCCAAATATCACTCTTGGGCTATTTGCTGGTACATTGATATTCAAATAAAACATGATTGAGATAATACAAACAATATCTACTAGTTAATCTAAGAATATAATTTTTTTTTTCACAAAAAATAAAAATATAATTTTTTTCAAATATATATATTTTTACAATACTATAGAAGACATGCGCACGATGTTGGTAAACTAATAAATATCTCCTTTTCCAAAACTTTCCTTTTATAACAAAAATTATGACAGAGTTTTGATTACACGACACAAGACAATGACATTAATTTTTTCCAATAACCAAATGAATGAGAATTTTTTACTCAAGTGAATTTAACCCAGCAATCAATAGACATCAATGGCGAACTCTGTGTGGGGTTACCAGTGATTGACTTGGATACAATGGTTTTAGCAATGTGTCTCTATATGAACACTTGTGAACAGGTAGCCAAGTTTAATAGCAAAGATCTATCAATAAATTACCATATGTGCTGTCCACACTATCAAGATACATATGACAAACTATAGTATGAATGTCACTCCAAATATTGACAAGTGACAATTCATATAACTCAGTCCACATCTGAATGGTTTCTACAAATACCTGTAATCTGCCCATATATGGGTACAATATGACATCATAATAATTGTCATCAAATCACAAATATTTGTCACATTGTGGACAGAGCTTTTTTTTTTTTAATTTACTTCTTTTTTAGAACCAGAATTTATATGGCCCTTATTACAATCCGCAGATCATATAAGGCAGATCATACAAGGCACTGGCATCATTATTTTGCTGGTGACTGGATACAGAGTTGGCAGACCTGCACATTGCACAAATTTCTCTGTCTCCCCTGGGTAGTATCCCTGGTCATTGCTGCTTGTACGACACAACCCACACATTCAATGCCATACCATCCTACCAGGTACCCATTTATATTCCTGGGTGGAGAGAGGCAAACATAAGTAAAAGTATTTTGCCAATGGACACAAGCAATGCGACGAGTGTCGGTCTCGAACTCCTGATCTCAAGATCAGAGGTGGACACCTTACATACTGCACAACACGCTCCTACGTACATGCTTGCTTGTACTGTAGTTGGTTGGTTTGTTCATTTCTCAGTTCAAAGCCATATAGGTCTAAGGATATTTCATGATTCAGTTGATATGATGTTTCTTTCATTTTTTGTTTTTTTTAACACCCAGAATTCTGCTCACAAGCACGTAAACTGTTTGACAAAGTATGTTCACACTATCCTGTTTCTGTGACAAAAACAGTGTCTACCCAGCTTAATGTTACAATAATGTTACAGTTTGGTGATGAAAACGTTATTTTGTAGAACCATAAGAACATACTTAGTGTGTAATTTTACAACTACAAAACATTTAAATGTTCCTGCAACGTTGTGTGAACGTTTGTTTTTGACATGCCTAAACCACAAATTTCGCGAAGTCTTTGTGTCTGCTGGGTGTGATTTGCCCACTTGGCATGATGATGTCATAACTTTTTTGTTTAATGGATATGCCACCTAGGATAGTGATTAAGTTCACTGATTGGCATATCCCTGGTGCTCGTGCCTAAAGAAGTTAAATTAAATACTATTACTCCATCCATGGCAAATCACAGGTATTTGTCAAACAAAAAGTGATATAGTGTGACCACAGCATTATAGAATTATCTTTCCAAGCTAATTGTTTAAATTTTTCAGTTTGGTATTGTTTGCAATTGTTGCTTATTTTTGGCCATGACCTTCTTTTTGTTATGTCATTGTTGCGTTTATTATTATTATTATTATTGTAACGGGACCCCTTCGGAAATAAGCAGAAATGCTTAAAGGGTTATCCTGAAATTCTCTTATTGTTGTTTAATTCGTTTAATTTTGTACTCTGTTTAGTTGGGAGAATTTCGAAATAAATCAAATCAAATATGTAGTACAGTATGCGCTATATAAATCTATATCCATTACCATATACATTACTGTAGTAATACCAACAATAACAAATATATAGTTTCCGGCACTGGTCAAGTGTTTTGATGTAGGAAATGTTTTATATTATCAGTATCAGTTATGGCTGTATGACGAGGTCGCTTGGTTATGAGCGCAGTGTGATAATTGTTGGTAGTGGGGAAATGCTACGAGTCGATATGTCTTGCATTAAAGGAAATAGTTATTGTTATTTATAACTTCAGTACAGTATATAAAAGATGTTCCAGGTATGGTGAATAACTGTTCCGCTAAGCCCCACCCTTACATATTGTTGTTAAGGTTCAAACACAAATTGACAGAGTAAACGTGGTTAAATGTTGAATGCTGAATGTCACATTCGCGTATGGTCATGGTAGCTAGACCTCCCGGAATTGCCAGTGTACACAACTGGCTTTAAAGAACTCATGTACATGTTTGAGATGAGTAGGTGTTACCTGTGCTCATCCAGACAGGCCCTGTTTAGCACTAATGGCGCTAATGAACTTTAGTACTCCACCCTAACCCTAACCTTAACATTAAGAACAAGACTGGGGTTGAGGTTAAGGTTAGGGTGGAGTAGGCATACTAATTAGCACCATTTATCATTTATAAGTGACCTAAAGTTCTACAGTAGGCCCACATCCCTAATGTAATAATTATCTCCATATGAACAATTCATTATAATACAAGCTTTAGGCCCGGGCCCTGGATTTAGCAATCTCAGTCTTAAGTCAAAAAAGTTAAGATGTCCTTAATAAATATCTTAAGCTGATTTATTAAACCATCTTAACAAAATCTTGGCTTAAAAATTGTCTTAGATGGCTCTTCCGTACAATTGACTTCCTAATTTTAAGCAATTTTTAAGCTAAGCAATATTGATAAATTTGACTTAAGCAAAAAAAATGGACTTAAGACGAATTTAAGCTGATTTTTAGTTTGATAAATCTGGCCCTAGGCCCTTACCTCGTCGCTCCATTTCATGAATTTTCCGCCTTCTTCTAGTTCCTCCGGTATACTTACTTCCTCCAATCGTTTTACTTTCAATTTGGTATTTGCACCAGCCATTATGTATTTTCACAAAATATCCACTAACAATGTTTTAATGTCTCGGTACAGAATTTTCTATGGAGAGCCCATTTAAACTACATACAGGCCTTTTTTTAAAGTGTTCACCCTTGATTGACTTCCACCCTGATCTAATCCAGGAGGTGATAGGAAGGGCGGATCGCCAGCTGAACTAACTGGTGGTGGTGGTACTTTAGTCGTGTGTCGTGACTTGATTCTGGATGTTTCACACTTCGAAGTTCCCTTCTTCTAGCTCCATTTGTCTCAGCAACTTGTAGAGTGTACGTCCGTTAATTAGCTGGACTTTTTAGCAGTTCATGAACACATTTCTGCGACCTGCCATTAAGTGCTTACAATCTAGGTTTACCATCTTACTTTCACAGGCTGCTGGCTGGCCGACGACGTTTGTTATGAAACTTCCAGTTTTCTTGGTTCGTTGAACTTGGTAAATTTTGTTTTATTGAGGGCGCTATTTATTAAAATTAATTTGTAGAATGAGTCCGGTCCCATTGGGGATATTATTTATTTAAGCTTTCTTTATCTAGGGGGTATCCATTCAGTGACTAGCACTACTTTTCAAGGACTGTCTCTTATACACATCTAGATGTGTATAAGAGACAGTATTGAAAAGATGAGTCTTCAATCTTGTCTTGAAAATAGCAAGAGTTGGTGCTTCTCTTACACTAGAAGGTAAGCTGTTCCATGGTTTTGGTGCTGCTACGTGAAACGATCTTTCGCCATACGTTTTTAATCGGCATGCAGGAACTTGCAGAAGAGTAAGGTCTGCAGAATCTAAGGCGCCTGCCACAGTTAGCTGAACGAAGGACGATGAGGTTTGAAATGTAGGACGGGGTTAAATTGTGAAGTGCCTTATATGTAATAATCAGGATTTTGAATATGATTCTCTGCTTCACAGGTAGCCAATGCAGACGTTTTAGAACAGGCGTTATATGTTCAAATCGTGAAGTATTGGAAACAAGGCGAGCAGCAGAATTAAGTTGAAGTTGAAGCTTATGGATGAGTTTTTCAGGCAGACCATTAAGTATACTATTGCATATACTATTGCAGTAGTCCAGTAAAATACTGTGGGAAACAACATGCTTTATTTCTATAAAGTAGCCAAGGCCACGGCATAGCATACAAGGAAACGGCGTAATTCCAAGTTCAACGAACTTAAAATTATTACCATACTGGTAAATGGTATGATAAGCCTATTTATTTGTAAAGTATAGCATATGTTTTAATAAGAAAAACAAAACACACTGTAATTTCCTGATTTACACCGCGACCTAACCGCATGACGGCCGAATTATGGATGGCATTCCAAGATTATTGCTTACGTACCATATTAATTCTTAAACTGAACATAATTTTCAAGATACCAGACTTTCTGACCAAACACTACAATCGGTTTCTCTGGAAGCATTTACACGTATACATGGCATGTTTTGATAGCTATAAGTAGGATAAACAAGAAATAGAAAAAACACTTTTGAATGACGACACAGATAAGTCAACCTCTAGGATATGTTAGAATATTTAATACTGTAATTGTATAACCTACAATTTAATTACATCATTAGAATGATATAAATAATAAAAATAACCTATTAAAATTATGTAAATGTAGGCATAGCTTGTAAATGTAAGAACCCTAGGGCAAATATTGTGAACAAAACGTTTTGGTTAGATTCTTTCCCATTTCAATTTTTCGTTACCTCATACGATTATGATAGGCGAGTTGGGTAAATTCCTCATAGTACTAGGTACTGTAATTCCTTTTCCCTGGGGTAAATATTCACCTTAAAAACAACCAGTGGCAGATCCAGGAATTTGAAAGAGGGGGACCACGTAGAGACTTTTCACAGTTAGAGGGCTCATACCACCTCAGCCTCACCATGGCCAGGGGTAGATCCCGAATTTTTCAAACGGGAGGGGAGGGGGATGGGTGCACAACATTTTCAGAATAGATACATAACATTGATATGCATTGAAATTTTAAAATTTATAGGCAAAACCGGCGGGAGGACATGCCCACCGTTCCGTACCTGATCCTGGCCTGATGGCTGGGGCCGAGGCAAGAAAATTTATGATTATGGCACCTCTAAATGGCCAGAAATGGCACTCTTAGACTTAAAATTTGAATATAATTTTCTTTCTTTCTCTACTTGTTTTTATTTTTTTAATTTAGGGGGAGGAGCTTGTCAGCTGAGTCCCTTCAAATCCACCACTGGCAACTGAAATAAACCTCCCTGCCCTAGACTCTAGCAGCCATGTATGCAACATACAACTAAATGTTTTAATTTTGCTGAAAAACTAAAGATCTGTCTAAACTATCAGATATAAAGTGACTGGTACATATATGGAGTGATATGACATCATCATTCCCATATATGAAAAAAAAATCACATTGTTTCACATAAAAACCTGATATGAATAGACAAAGCTTAAGGTAATCTTCATCTTAGGCACAAACATGAATTTTAAACATGAAGAAACTTTATAAAACATTGATAATTCTTAAGAAGTGAATAAGAAAAGATGATTTTTTAAAACATACAAATATAATGCATATGTATGTTTAAATATTTACCAAAACAGCAATAGAATCTGTATCTAAACAAACTGTTAAAAGCATAATTCATTGTTAAGGCCTTCATTATGCCCTTTAACTTGTGAACGCCAATAATTAATTAAGAGTCAATTAGAACATATGAACAAAATAAGAATCCCTCTTAATTAAGAATTAACTAATTAATATTCAAATCTAACATCATAAGTTGCATTTTTCTATAATTTTTAAAGTTGTTAAATTGAAAGAAATCTATTATAAATCGGAGCATACCGCACTGCATAACATTTGAATCATTAGTTGACATCAACAGCGACACGTAGATAGCAATTATGGTATTTTCTGCAATTAATTGTACCTCTTTTCTGCATCATAATGTAGTGTTAAACCATACTTAAGAGCATGAAGCAGCTGGCAAGTGAGAAACAGACACTGCTTGGTGTGTGACGATTGTAACATGCAACCTTGTTCTGCTGGCTGTACGCTAAGCAAAACTTTCACAGTTGCGCAACATTTTCTGGAAACAGAAAATTATGCTATATCAAACTGTCACATTTTCACAGCATGTTCAACGTTGATCACCAAATTAATATTTCATATTTTTTATGTTGTGTACTGCTGTTTGCACTTAAACATGTATGATGATTTAGACAATATACATGCGACAAACTGTTCAAAAAGATAATCCTCTTCAAATCTTAAACCTTACTTGTACTTTATGAGCCTCTATAATCCCAATACAGGACAGCTCTTTTTATCCAATGCTATACAGTGTAAGCCATTATCATTCCAATACAAGATAATCCATTTTATCACATAAAGTACAGTAAAAACTTCATTCATCTTAATACACATCAATACTCTTGACTTGATACTGTACAGTATAAGCCTCTATTATCCAAATAAAAAAAATAATCCTCTTTATCCAATACACTATAGCTCCTATCATCCTATAAATGGATAATCCTGTTGATTCCATACTTAAACAGCACGTTTTTCAACCATCAAAACAGAGGATAATCCTTTTGATCATATACTAAAATCATACTGTACGATATATGGCTCTAGTATCTCAACAAATAATCCTCTTTATCCCATACATTATAGCTTCTATAATCAAAATACAGGGTATTTGGGTCCTCTTGAAAAGGTACACTTGTACAGTGTGTGTTTTAATCATCAAAACAGAGGATAATCCTTTTGACTGTATTATCTCAACAAATGATAATCCTCTTTATAATAATAATAAATTTAGTATAGGATGATCCTTTTGCTCTTAGTAATGAATGATTGAACTAAATTCATGCTGTACAGTATTATAATGCTCTATCATCTCAACAAAGGATTATCCTCTATCCCATACTGTACATTTCAAGCTTGTTTCATTCCAATACACAATACTCCTCTTGATCCCATACTATTTAGTGGTTATATCATCCCACTTAATCCCATAAGCTTCTATCATCCCAATACAGGATAATCTTTCTAATCCCATATGGCACAGTATAACTATGTATCTCCATTATTCCCTTCAATATTTTATCTGTTTTCTATTTCATTATGTATTCCTTTATCAATGTTTACAGCACTTTTTTTTCTTAAGGATGACTGTGCTTTATATACTTTCCTATATTATTGTTAATAAGATTATATTACATCATAATGTAAGGTATATTTTGTTATACAAGAGAGAAAAAAAAAACTGTCTTTGATATGTGGAGTACATGCAAGCACAATCACTCCAAAAATCACCTTGGAATTTCTCAGTTGGTCTGTGTTGCTTAATTTATCAGTTTTTTCTGTTTGCTCAATTTCTCAGTTTTGTATGTTGCTTAATTTCTCAGTTTTGTATGGTTGCTCAATTTATCAGTTTTGTCTGTCTCACTTAATTTCTCAGTTTTGTCTTTGTTGCTCAATTTATCAGTTTTGTCTGCGTCGCCTAATTTCTCAGTTTTGTATGTGTTGCTCAATTTCTCAGTTTCGTATGTGTTGCTAAATTTCTCAGGATTTTTTCTGTGTTGCTAAATTTCTCAGTTTTGTATGTGTTGCTCAATTTCCCAGTGTTATATGTGTTGATAAATTTCTTAGTTTGGTCTGGGTTGCTCAATTCCTCAGTTCTGTCTGGGTTGCTCAATTTCTCAGTTTTGTCTTTGTTGACCAATTCCTTAGTTTTATCTGTGTTGCCCAATTTCTCAGTTTTATATGTGTTAATAAATTTCACAGTTTTGTATGTGTTGCTCAATTCCGTAGTTTTGTCTGTGATATTATATCACAGGTTATACAAAGAAGTCATGAGATTTTCAAATAAGAGATCATATAAATTCATTAAACATCGTCCATACACCACTGTAAGTACATTCATTGTTATCCTTCTACTCCACGGCAAAATATTTTTTAAAGACTTTGTAAGCATTTGCACCAAGGCCAAGACACCATGCAAGTCACCTCTTCATAGCTACGTGCACTCCTGTGTCTGCTATAGCTCCCTCTTTCTTGAACTGTAAAAGAACGTTTTAAATGTTACAGTGTGATGATGATGGAATAATTAGTTTATTTGAACTAAAAAGACTATTACCATTATTATTCCATTAATTAAAAAGTAACCACTACAGCAAATGTTAATAAATTATTGCAATGTACTTAGGTCTGAATAGGATTTTACTTTAATTGCCACTACAAAAAATATTGAAACAAATCTGACAGTGCCATTTCTGGGTATCCAGTTGTGATAAGCAATAACATTTTGAGCCACAGTCCCAATTAATCTGCAGTCAAGTTCTGGGCCCACCATCTGTAAAAGTCCCTCCCTAACCCTCTAGTCTAAAGCCCCTCTACTGCCAAGGTTGATTTCATCCAAGAGTCACACAAGTTCAAAAATTTTGGTTGGGAAAGGTCCTCTATATAAGCTTACTACGTGTTACCCAACAAGTCAGGCACAACCTGACAGAGTTGGTTACGATTTATGAACTAATTATGCCTAAGCGAAGCACCAAGTTTACTACGAGCTTTATGAGATTATTACGAGCATAAAACGTTTGTACCGAATTAGATAAGAGTTAGGTACAAGCCAATTCGGTGCACTCGTACATAACTCATACTCACTTCGGGGTACTCGCATCAAACTTGTGGATGACAAATACGCCGATGATACCCCAAGTAGTGTACGAGTTAAGTAGGAGTACCCCGAGTACTCTACAAGTTCGAGTTTACTACGAGTTGTCAACTCATAGCGCTAATTTTTAACATGTTCAAAATTAGTTCAGAGCTGCTACGAGTAGGTAAGAGTTCTCCACGCGCTTACTGAATCATCCAAAGAGTTTCTGCCAAGTTTCAAACTTGGCAAACTTTTTTAACTCACATGCTGAAAAAAAAAACCCTAGTGGGAGAGGGGCTTTACTCATCCTTAAATACAGGCCAACTTTAAAACCCAGCCTATCCAACAGCCTTGCCCAGAACCAATCCTACATCATAACCATCAGCCATTTAAACACTGCTACAATACTCCAATGATAACTGAATACTTGTTAAGAAAATCACACCCATATTACCCAACATGAATAAGTCTCGTAAAATATTGTCAGAAGCACCTTCCAGGCCACTGTTTTTCTTTGCTGGTGAGGGGGACGTACACGACCCCCATTAGTTGCTTCTTAGTGATACTTCCATCAGGGAGCTTGTCATACTGTTCCAGGTTTTGGCTTCCTCCTTGCGGGCCTACGGGTACAATCATGCGCCCACCTGGTTTCAACTGCTCCAAAAGCTAACGAAAAAGAGCAACAGAATTGTAAACTAAAGGTCTCTCCCAATCAAAAAGCCCACTCCTGGGTCAAGGATTTTCATGGTCTTTAGCAGCTTTGGTCTCTAATCAGAATAATAAAGATAAAAAAAACATTTGTTAATATGGGTCCACAAAAAAGTGGTCTTTAATTGGAGGTGGTTTTTAGTTGGAGGGGTCTTTAATTAGAGGAAGACCTACACTTTGAAACATGAAGTCATTCCAAGATCTATACATTTTGACAAATCACGAATCATGGATAAACATGTTTTTTGTTAAAGTGTAAAGCATAATGCATTCTCGTTAATATTTGTGAACCAATCAATATTCAGTAATAAGGTTGATACTCACAGCTTCAGGTATTGTTGGCGCTGCAGCTCCGACATGAATAGCATCATAGGGGGCATGCTCTGGACTACCTAATCTACCATCACCAACTAAGCAAGAATGAGGAAAAACAAAGCATTAAGTATAACTTATAATAATATAATTAATTATAGTAACTTAAGAAGAGGACCACCCCCTGCCCCCAGGGGGTGGTCAAGATTTGTAACTTAACCATGGAGAACAGAAAAATAAAAGGGAAAAAAAAAATAGAAAGGAAGACAATATAACAGAAATTCAAGCAATACTAACAAAATTACGGGATTTATCAATATTTACAAAATTTTAAATTGACATAAAATGGAACTGGAATTGAGAAAAATAAGGAGAAAGATCTTGCAAAGCATATTATTAACAAATGTTCATCCCATTTTTCATGAGATGACAATAATTCATTTTGATAATTATTTAATTTAAAAACAACAAAATCTTGAATCTTTAACAAAGCAAAATAAAATTGTCCAGACTATCAAATCATATTTGTGACATGCATATGGTCATGATGACATCACATCATGACCATATATAGGCACATCACGACTATATATCCAGACTGTTTAAAGAACAATACAGCTGTTTAAAGAACAATATTTGAGAAATCAGCCTTCAAAGTTTATGATTTCGGGCATTTCTCAGGCAGAAGCCATCACCAAATCGTTAGAAAGTTGTTGTTTTAACATTGAAAATGTGAAAAATAACAGCATAGCATGATTTATACATATGTAAAGGTTAGTTTGATGAAATAAAATAGATTTCAAATTGACATTCCAGCATGTTTCGGCCAATATCTCTGAAACAGGATTTGCGACGAGTGACTGGTTTGGCTTGTCTTTGCCACATATGGACAAAAACAATTTTTTGTCAAAGAGAATATGATAGTTTGGACAAAGCGTAAGGATGGGTGGTAGACATTCTAAGCATGTGTGGGTAAGCTCTAAATAAAAAGTGTGGATTTTAAGGATGGGAAAAGGTGTTAATAAAGCTGGGTGGAGGGACATGAAATTAGATTTAGATTGGGTTAAAAACTTGTAGCCTGTGTGGCCCCTTCAAAAACTACATTCCTGCACTTACCAACTAATTTAATTCTATCTGATTCTAAAAGATCTGGATTGCCTTCCATAATATGTTCTCTGGAAACATCAACAAGTTCTTTAATATGGTCAATACCAACAACTACACCTTGAGGACCAACCTGAAAAAAAAAAAATATTTAAGTCCAATTACCATATTTTATTTTATTTACTTCCGCATTCTAAATTTTCACACATCCCAGGCCGAAACCAGCCTAAGAGAGATACTCACCATATATGCCATACATGCGGTTAAGTAGCCACTCCCAGAACCAACATCGAGAGCTTTGTTTCCTTCCTTTAGCTGGTCTTTCAACAATTCTAAGGCATGAGCATGCTAAAAAAAAAAAAAAAAAAAACATGAGCATGCTAAAAAAAAAAAAAAAAAAAAAAAATCTGTAAAAATGAGCTAAATAGAGGAAAGCAGAATGTCTTTTAACACAGTGGCTGCCACAATTTTTCTTACATCAATAAGCAACATTCCTGTCACTTGTAATAAAACACAAACCACCTTTAGATTATTACCTCCACCAAGGAGGTTATGTTTTCAGCCCTGTTAATTTGTTTGTTAGTTTGTCTGTTGTTTGTCTGTGAACAGCCTACAGGTCAGTTTTCAACAAAAACTTCTCAAACTTGGTCCTAATGATCCATGACAAAAGATCTCAAGGTGATTAAATTTTGAAAGGTTATGTCAAAGGTCAAGGTCACAATTGATGAAAAACTACTTTCTATATATAACAGCCTATAATTTTTATCAGAAATCTGTAAACCTTGGTCACAATGTTCATTGACAAACACTCTAAATATGATTGAATTTTGGAGGGACAGGGCCAAAGGTCAAGGTCACAATCCACAAAAACAACTTCTTATATATACAGTAAAACAGCCTACAGCCAACAATTTTTATCAGAAACTAATCAAATTTGGTCACAATTACACATGACCAAAGACCCTGAGGTTATTAAAGTTTGGAAGGTCAAAATTACAGGTCAAGGTCACAATAGATAAAAAACTACCTTTCTATATATTACAGTCTACACTTAACAATTTATATTAATATTAATATTCCATGACCAACAATTAAAGATTATTAAATTTGATTGACCATGTGCCCCATTTTGACTGACAGACTAGAAGCACTCTGGATGGCATGCAAGCCTGATTAATGGGCTTGCCACCTGAAGCCTATGATGATGTTTTGCAGTTGGAGTGAAGAATAATACCCGATTCACACGTGAAGTTAAATTTAACAAAAAGTAACAAATTGTAACCGAGCGATCTCCCGAGTTATTCCTACCGAGATAAAAAGCATTCACACGCGTCTGTAAGGTAATGCCAAGTTTGTGTAAAATTTATTCATTCAATTTTTTCCCCTACTGCGATATAGGTCTAGCCTAGGCCTAGTTGAGAACTCCTGTCACAGATGGACTGTTGAACTCACCATCACAGTAAAGTTCACAAAGAACTGCTGTACTACTACTACTAAACTAGGCATAGCTTCCAACGTTTCTGTCGACTCTTATAATACTAGTATTAGTATTAACACCATCCCGACGTTCATTTTATCTTCTTCTTCTACCATTACTAATTAACATCAATAACAAGGGTAATTCATTCATCATTGAGAAAAACTAGGCCTATCTATTTCTAGTGGATCAGAATCATATGCAGAAGGAAGAAAATTCAAAGAACCCCGTGAAACAGTAGATTGTTGTTGC